TTCTATCTTTCACTCATCTCTCCAAATTTCTTCTACTCTTCACCGGCCCGCCTGAAAATTAGTCGTAAGCTGCCACCATTTTTTTCAAATTCTAGATCTATCGCATTAGTTAACCAAGATTTTTCACGAATCTCCCATTTTCCCCAAAATCAAACACCTACCCTACTCTCTTTCACTCCCCTCCCCATTTTCGTTCGGTCGTCGATTCCCGTCCGACCGCACTGCTAAATCCAGTGTTGTCGTCACAATAACTGAACGCGTGGCCATCTCTTGTAAGGTATGAAATATTTGGATGTTTTGAAAGCGCACGTCTATCATTTTGACGAATGAAGAAAGGAAGGGATTTTATATGGTTTTTGTTACGGAATTGTGAAAGAATGGGTGCAAAGAATTCGGGAGTTTTCATTTGAATTTTTATTATAGGATTTCATATGGTTTTCATTTGAATTTTTGGCTTCGATTTTTGATAGATTCCAGTTGTCGAATGGGTGGAAAGAATTCGAGAGTTTGCCACAGTTGCCAGCGTAAGGCCATTTCTTTGCCGAATGCCTGACAAAACACTGATGCCCGGAGTGCAATAACGGTTTTCAAAAGTGTTTTGAGGTTGAAAGGGATACCCTAAACAAAGGAAAAATTTTCAAATGTTGCAATCACAAGTGTGCATTTTGGGAGTGGTGTGACGTTGGAGAATCAAGTGGAGAATCGAGTGACATTAGCCGTACTGAAATTGACAATATATCCTGCAAGTTCGAATCTAAAGTCCAGCTGAAAGACGAAGAAGAAATCAATATATCCATGATCGAGACAATCCGCAAGAAGAAGTAAAACGTTGTTTGGTAAACACGAATGGAAGGAGTTGTTTGATTAGTATGGGTTGATTAGTTTCCATCAGTTTGAATGTGGAACTGCAGGATTCAAACATTTTGATTTTGGCATAATCGATAGGGTAGTCAGGTCCAGTTAGCATGCTACCTGGAACTTGTAGTTCCTATTTTGGTGTCTTTGCAGTGTGCATCTCCGTGCATTACCAGCCTGATTGTAGTTTGTTGTAATAGCAGCAACTTATGTCCTAATAGCATATTCCATTTCCATGTTGATTTGTTTTAGTTTTGTGCTAGAATTGTTTGGCAATTATAAAAGGAAATCTTGGAATAGCTAGAACTTCTTCAGCTAGAAAAACAAAAACCTGCAGAATGAATGATATGGCAATTATAATAGGTGAACTTGAATTGTTTGGCACGGTGCTTGAATGTACACACTCACTGCACAATGCCGAGATGGATATCAATAACTCAACCTGCAAAATATCGTAACATATCACCTATCATCACAAAAAAATAACCTGGGATCTGGCTTGTGCAATAAATAGCATCGTTCATGAGTCCAAATAATAGAAACTGGAAAATTTCAGCCACTACTTTCACAAAGAGAAATAGATGATAATCTAAAGTAACATCTCACTTAGAACTTCTTTAAATAGATGCTAAGAAATATTACAATCCTGTCATAATCCAGTGCCTCCTTGATGCGGTAAATGTTGATTGTAGTATTGAATAGCATTAACTGACACATAACATGAAAAATGAATAAGTGAACATGACATTATGGCGTAGAAATTTACATTTTCATAAATGTTGTTACCATGGGAATTGAATATAAAATGCAGTGACGACGGATGGATCGAACTAATAGATGGATAGGGTTGTGTACCCAAAAGATTTTCCTCGTGACCCTATCATAAGTAACGATGTCAACAACGAAGTAATTTGAAAAGAATAAATCAAAAATTTCCAATAAATATACTAACCATCAAGTGTTGTAAATAGGTGAATGGTGAACACGTGGGAGCTTATTCTTGTTGAGATGCATTAAGATCGGTTGCAACCTTTAGTGTACTGTTACGCATTACTTTAGTATTCGTTTAAGTTTTTTTGGGAAAATACCTAAAAATACCTTCGTTTTCTTCGAATTCGACTCCAACGGGCTCTTCCTCCGAAGTTTTCTGGGCGCGCCCTTTCTTTTTGTCAATTTAGGATCTCCTACGCTGCATGCAGGTTGGGAACCTGTATGCTGACTACAAATATTGCTTCCACTACTCCATTTCAACATCAAAAGCTCTTTAGCTTGAAATTGTATCCATTCCATAATTAGTCGGGCTCGACCTTCATCATCTGCCACAAGGTTTGCCACCTGGGCCAAAGCTTTACACATATTGTCGTACCTCAACTGTCCCGGAGTATTGCCCAACCCGTCATATTTTATTGCGATCCTTGTGTATGGTCGACTGATATCCCTCCCCCACCTACGCAGTATGTATCGATCCGGCAGTACGATAACGTCGTTACGGATCAGTGCTGCGATTGCATGTCTGTAAAGGATTCCCCGAAACTCAAACAAGTGACAGCTACAAACAACTTCACATTTATCCATATTGAAAGAGACAAAAAATGATTTCTTCTTATGTCGATCACCGCAAACAACATCTTCCCTTACCTCAAAATTCGTCCCAAAACATCCATTTGAAGCAGATATGAGGTCGCAATAAACCTTACCTGAAAACTCAGTTTGAACTTCTTTGAATTTTGAAATTGTGTACACTGCCTGAAATTACTTTTCCATTTCATATGTTGTTGTAAATGGGACCATTTGAGAGAACGACTTAAAATCAGCTTGGAATTCCTTCTCCACCTTGTTCCTCAATGCTCGTTCATACTGTCCAACAAACCGCTTCAAAGACGTCTTCGAGTGCACATACCCATCAAAAAAGCATTCATGCTTTCACTTCGCTGTGTTGTTGACATCCCAGCCCATAATGTTGTTTTTAAAAAGCAAGGAACCCAACGACCGCGTTTCTCATACAATCCCGACAACCATGCGTTATCATGCAACTCAAATGTTGTGATCATCGATCCCCAACCTTGTTCAAATTCTTCAATCGTTTGCGAATCATACACCAATACATGTATTGCTGAAAATATTGAACCCTTATCGACGTGGTATCCAAATTTTTTGGGCAACTTCTTCAAAATGTGCCACAAGCACCATCTATGCTTTGTATTTGGAAAAACTATCCGAATGACATTTTGCATTGCTCTGTCTTGATCAGTGATAATTCAATGAGGAGTTTGACCGTGCATACACTTAATCCATGTCCTGAAAAGCCAGACGAAGGTATCCGTATTCTCATTCGAGATCAAACCACAACCTAGAAATGTTGATTGTTCGTGGTGATTGACGTCAACAAAAGGTGCGAAAGACATGTCATATCTGTTAGTTAAGTAAGTGGTATCAAATGTGACAACATCCCCGAACTCCTTATATGCTTCCCTACATAGATTATCAATCCAAAATACATTCCCCAATCGTGAATCATCTTCCAAATCCATACAGAAGTAAAATCCCACACAACTTGCTTGCATATCTGAAAAATAATACTGTATTGCTGCTGCATCTCCCTCCCCAAGGCTCAATCGCCTAACTTGTTCAATGTAGTTTTGACCATCCTTCTCCACGCATGTCATATTTTCATATCCACCCGCTTCAACAACTGCAGAATTGAAACTTTTATGCAATGGAATTCCAACCATGTCATTCACTTCAAGCTTCCGCTTCACACTTGTACTCAATTCTTGATTGCACCGATACAATCTCGACTTCATTGGACTTGTTTTGTGATTGTGGTCGAGGTGTACCGTGTTAATCTCCAGTGATCATCTGAAGATGGAGATTCGAGCTTTGCAACCCGTTTGAATTGTTGGTTGAGGCTTCAATGACCCGCTTGTGCTACCGCTTCTTCGACCTTCATGGCTACATGTGAAAGACTGAAAGTCGCATATCGCACAACTCTATCATCGTCCTTTCTCGAATTCCTTTTCCTCACCGAAAAACCTATGCTGTAAGCATATGATTTGTACAAATCAAAGACTTCATTTATATCTTTGAACTTCATACCAACCTCCGACACAACAACTACATTCATATTGTATTCCGCGTTGACATTTTCGATTTCCACCAATGGGTCATTTTCGGAGTCTTCCATCACCTATTCTCCTACAGAAAAAGTACCATACACTTTTAGCATATCAATTTCATATTTACAGCAACATATTGATTTCAACATAATCAAAAATTGACAATAGAAGTCGTTCATTGTTTACAATTTCATTCGCACATATTCAGTCACCTAGTTATGAAATAAACGAGTAACCACGACCTAATGTAATGGAGGTAGAGGTCTGCACATGTTCTAAAAAAATCACATGACACATTTGGGATACCTAGGGCAATGCTGGTTAGTAAGCGACAATGGGAGGTTGAGTAAGATAGAAATTTTTACCCAAAATTAGTGTGCAATCGGACTACTTTTTTAGGGCAACCGGTAAGAAAATCTGAAATCGAACTCGCCGAATCTGCTTCAAAAATCGACTGCAATCGAACCGATGAGAAATTCTGAACTCGAACAATGCTGGATTTGCTTCAAAATTCGTATTTTGTCGAACTCAATTTTGTCAACAGAGGGCAACAGGTCATACATTAGCTCCGGGAATTTGGTCTGAATAATTAGGGTTTTGCCATTGAATTTTGGGTGCCTCCAATTTTTGAGTTATCTCGGATTGTGGTAGGCTGGATTTTTGAGATTAAAGCTTTGCCATTGAATTTTGTTCAACCTGCAATTTTTGAGTTTTTAGGGGTTGTGGAAAGGCTGGGTTTTTGAGAAAACTCACGGGTTTGTCTCATTTCACGAATTTTCAAGGGTTTGTCTCATTTCCCGCTTGATTAATTTATTCTTGCATCTCAGGCATTCAGCCTTTTGCATCTCGTCCGTCCACGTCATGTTGTCATCTAGTGTTGTAGTCCACAAGTGTACAAACAGTTTTTTCCATAAATGTATAATAAGGCATGAAAATATACAGTAACAGCTATAGATGATTCAATGGACTACTTTAATTTGAAAATTGGTCTGTTAGTATTTTTATAGAGTAGTTTCCTGAGTTCGTCAAATCTTTCTTCAACTCAAAATTATTTTGCAGGGGTGACGAGTTTGAGTGCGAGCGGATATTTGAAATATCTGGATGCTAACAAAATATTTGGATGAATGTACTAATTAATAAGAATGAGGATAAGAATGTGAAAGAAAAATAAAAAAATTGTGACATGAGTCTATATAATTTGTAGCACAAGAATTCAACGTTGAATGTGTAACATGAAATGCTCTAAAAGTGTTGTTGAAGTAATATTTGAATATGGATGAATTTTAATTAATCTAGAATTGATATCAAAAAATATATACGTGACAATGAATGTTAAATGATTTATTTAATTTTTAATTAAGTAAAATTGGATGTTTATCTGTATACATGGACGTGAATAATAAAATGCATTTTTGAATGTAAAATTCTAATTAACTTATAATTAGAATTAATAATATTGAAATGTCTAAATGAATATGAATGTTTATTAATTGAGAATTAATAATAGAGAATTCATACATTAATGAATGCGAACAAGTGAAATGAATCTATCAAACGTATATATATATTGATGGCAACTAAATGGTTAAATATATATAGAAATGAAAAGTAAGATATTATTGAAATAATTGAATTATAGTAGGACTAAAATCGTCCAAAAAATAATTCTCACCTCATATGATATTTAATTTCAATTAAGTAATTTTGGATGTGTATTAGCATACATAGACATAAATAATAAAAGACATTCTCGAATGCGAAATTTTAATTAATTTATAATTATAATTAATAACACTGAAATGCATAAATGAAGATAAATATTAATTAAATGCATGTAAATGTTAATTAATTAAGAATTATTAATAGAAAATTCATGCATTAATAAAAATACACATGTGAAATGAATCCGTCTTATGTAAACGTACATTGATAGTAAGTAAAATGTTAAATAAATTAAATACATATTGAAAAATGAAAAGTAAGATATTATTGAAGGGTAAATAACACATAATGTTCCACATTTCACTGTTATTGTAGAAAACGTCACCAGCTTTCATTTTTTTTTTTTTTTGGCATTTTCACCCTTATTTCTACTTTTCATTGCGCAAAAATGTCATTTTCATCAATTTTCTCAATTAAAAATTGTGAAATAGCAAA